TCTTTGGTATTGAAGTATCGCTGTATGACATCTTACTGGGTCCACGTGCTCGCTCACTGTGACTCTTGCTGGCTAAGTTCGTCCCGTCTATTACCTTCACCCTCGGTTGCTCTCGTTGTCTCGGGTCTTCACCTAGCAGTAGTATATGTATATACTGGGTGAGTCCATCTGTGTAAAAAGGGGAGGACCCTTCAACAGAAAGAAAGCTGAATAATAAATAATTATATATATATATATATATATATATATATATATATAGTAATCCGTATAGTGAACCGAATAGAGAAATAGTATAGTGAATAGAATAGAGAGGAGTGTTCCGTACAGTAATAGAAGATAGATTAGAAATGGAGATCCGTATAGTAATAGAGAATAGACTAGAAATGCAGATCAGTTAGACGTCACGCTATCCTCCACATATACGTTTCCTCTATGGTCACGTGGTCTACTTAATTCAATAATGGGATCGCCTGTGTTTGCTCACTATGTTAGCAGCGACACTTTATTCCTATATAATACATTGTATATCAGTTTCATCTTTGTAAAAATATCGTGTCTTCACACGTCATGGCAGTTATTTTATATATATTATTATAATTTCACGTATGTTGTGTTGTAATTTTTTTAATTTTTTATATTAAGCACATTTTCCCTAAATCTGACAAAATGTTAATTATTTTGTGTTTTTTTTTTTGTTTTTTTTTTTTTTTAGGTTTAATGCTTATTCTCACCAGAAGCCAGGAAAATAGATTGAAATATTGAAAAAAAAATGATTAAAAAAAAAGGATCTTTCTTTGGTCTTTAACTTAAGTTGTAAAGATATGTATTATGTATACATAATACAAGGTAACAAAAAAAAGTTCTCTCCGTTTTTAAAGGAAAAAAAAACGCTTCACAGTATGTGTAACTTATATTTAGTCTTCGAAGTAATCGCCACCGGCATCCACCACCTTCTGCCAACGTGTCTCCAGCTGTTCAATACACTTGCGGGAGAACTCGGGGGTTTTGACGCAAAGAAGTTCCTGAGGGCTTTGCGCAAGACTGCTTCATTGATGAAGGATTTCCCACGAAGATGATTATCCAGGGAGTGGAAGTCGGATGGTGCAAGGTCAGGTGACTTTGTGCCATCCACCTTGGATGGCACAAAGTCTCCCACCCAAGTTGCTGTATGGTATTCCTGACTACTCGCGCGACATGCGGCCTGGCGTTGTCATGGAGGAAAAGCACACCTTTGCGATTCACCAGTGCTAGCTCCTTCTGGCGCAATGCCTGTTGCGAGTATAGGTCTCCAGTGACCGTTTGGCCCGTTGGACAGGTCGTCAAGTGGTTCATAATGAACCACTTGACGACCTGTCCACCAGACACAAAGCATAATCTTGCGTGGGTGCATAGGCGGTCTTGCGGTGTGAGGGACAGCATCCTGGGGAGACAACCAATGTCTGGAATGTTTGGAAGTTTCGTCCAGAACCCACTTTTCATCACTGGTAAGAACTCGATTGAATAAGGATGCGGTACGGTGGCGAGAAAGCAGTTATACGTAGGCTGCCACTCGTTTTCCCTTGTGGACCTCCAACAGCCTTCGCGGAACCCATTTGCTCAGTTTGTACGTCTTACCTAGGCGGTGCAGGTGAAGTCTAACTGTTTCATCGGAAACGTTGAACTGTCTTGTAAGTTCACCACACGTTAGACTACTGTCGTCTTCAATGGCCGCCTTCAGGACTCCGTCATTCAAGACCTGTAGTCGTCCACTGCGAGGCTCATCATGGAGAGACAAATCTCCCGCCTTGCAGTTACGTTCATCCACAGCAGTATCTTCAAACGTTTGACATATGTGGCGACTTGCTGCAGCTGTTGATAAGCCCACTTTGAAGTCGTAAAGCAAACAGCCCCAACCCACGAGATCTCTAGACACTTCCATCCTTCTCACAGCTGTCCGGCTTATAACTGATGATATTCAGTCACCCCCCCCCACGAGGGTGTCATGTGGCACAAGGCCTTTTTAACGTGGGCATTCCCGAGCCATTAGGCTCGGCCAAAAAATAGCCCATTTGAACCCGTATAAACGGGTTCTTGGCCGGTTTTACCTCCCCGAAGGAGACTCCGCCCTTCGGCGTAGCCTCCTTCGGGTTCCTCCCGCCCGTAGGAAGAGAGTATAACCGAACAGTCGCTCAGAAAGTACTGGCTCGACTGATGGCCGGGCACGGTGCGCGTGTTTTTTTTAATAACGTCTGATGTTCCTACTTCTGGCTGTCTGAATTTGAAAACAATTGCTACATGCGTTTCGTATATATTTCAACTTCATTCAATGACTAATCAAAAAACGGACAGAACTTTTTTGGTTAACCTTGTAGTTTACAGCGAAAATATGTGCGTGTTTATGTAGAGGGAGGTCCGAAAGTCTTGTCACCCCTACATAATATAGCATTGCCCCTAAAAAGGAGAGAGAGATTCATATGAACGATACCAGAATACCAATCAGTGGAAGGATGTCATTCGGAGAGCCTTTGCAATAATCAACAAAGCACAGATTCATAAAATATCACACAGAACATGGCGTCGCATCATTTTGTGCCATGAAATTTCTCTTCATACAGACCTTCTCGATGTGCGACAGCGTCAATGAAATTGAATAAACTGAGTCCAGTGAATGTGCTCTGTATCATTGTATTACTTGATCTTCTATTGGTGTCATAACTTTCTGGTAAGGGGTGACAAGAATTTCGGACCACACTTTATATGGATTTATTAGGGTGTAAAATAGCAAACATGCTGAACATGTTCAGTGACCTGTAATATGTAGTGTTTTGTGTTCTGTGCCATTCATGGCTTCAGTTCTTCAACACTACAGGGTGGTTCGAAAGTCTTGTCACTCTTAAATAATATTTTCTATTTCAGATGGCTGACCCCGAGCTCCTACAGACCTTCTCGATATGTGACAGCGTCAATGAAAGTGAATAAACTGAATCCAGTACATGTGCTTTGTATTACTGTCTTAATTTTTCTTCTATTGTTCTCATTACTTTTTTTTGCTAGGGAGTGACAAGACTTTTAGACCACCCGTTACATCGTTTCTGTATTTATTCATATTATAGTAGAGCGTGGTCTGAAATTCTTGTCACTCCCTGAAAATGATGTTCATACAGACCCTCTCATTGTGTGTCAGTGTCAATGAAAGTGAATAAACTGAATCCAGTACATGTGCTTTGTATTACTGTCTTAATTGTTCTTCTATTGTTCTCATTACTTTTCGATAGGGGTTGACAGGACTTTCGGACCATCCTGTAGAAGAAAAAAGTAATCTATGTCAACCAATGGAAAACGAATATGCTTTTTATTCTATTAATTCCAAAAGCTAAGCAAGATACTGCTAAACGGAAAAAACCGTTAGAAAGAAAAGAATGCTGGATTGCTTTGTGTTATCCATCCTCTTGTATGGCAGTGAATGCTGGACAATCTCCCCACGGATGAGGAGAAAATTCGAGACAGCCGTAATGTCGATTTACAGGGTGGTCCGAAAGTCTTCTTACCCTTAAATAATATAATTTTCTCTTTCAAATGACTGTGTTCATACAAGCATTACCGATGTGCGACAGCGTCAATGAAAAAGAGAATAAACTGAATCTAGTACATGTGCTTTGTATTACGGTATTACTTGTTCTTATTACTTCTTGGTATGGGGTATCAAGACTTTCGGACCACCCTATATAAATGTTTGCTTGCTTCTAAAGTCGAGTATAGAAAAACATAGATAGAAATTAACAAATTAAAATAGACGTGAACAGATTAAGAATGTATATACAGGCTGGTCCGAAAGTTTTGTCATCCCTGCATAATATAATTTTCTATTTCAGATGGTCGACAAGAGATCCGACTGTTTAGAAGAGAGCATTCTCGATGTGTGACAACGTCAATGAAATTGAATAAACTGAATCCAGTACATGTGCTTTGTATTACTGTATTATTTATTGTTCAATTGTTATCATTGCCTTTTGGTGCGGGTGAGGGTTTTGCAAAAACTTATTTTGCTTGTTTATAAAGTTGAGTATAGCAAAAAAGATTAAAACTTAACACTCACCACAGCAAATTTACAAATGTAGAATAAATCATTTTCTAGTTACACCCTAACTCACTCCTTGGGCAGCTCTTAGCACGCTGGGGTTCCCATAGCAAGTGATAGGTTCTTACAGGATGGAGTTGATAGCTCCATGCTCAACCGGTTTGTATTCAGAGATTTCCTACTCCTAGACTGGTTACCAACCACAAATAAGGACCTTGGTCTGCCTCACTAATTGAACCACTTATTCCAAGGCGCTGTCCATTTCGCAATTTTGTAGAACTTTCAGGAAAAAATAAAATAAGATTTCAGTGCGCAGCTAAGTGAATCGCTAATTAATCAATTGATGAGCACCTTCTCAGGATTGAATTAGACTGGCTGGCAACAAGGGTAAGAGAATTCAAGGTGTCCTACTATTTACCCAATAGCTGGGGGGATATACTCATGTCTTTTGATGTGCATTAGGACGAAGCGAACGGAGCAGAATTGACTGAAATTTGAACTAGGATTATCGATGTCACTTTCCGAAGCGATAATCGTTGCACTAACTGCAAATTCAACGATCTCTCTCTCACTCTCACTCCCATCCTGGCTCATTCTCTCTCGTTATCTCTCATTCTCACTATATTTCTCTCTCTCTCGCTCTTCTCCCGTCTCTCTCCCCCCTCTCTCTCTCTCTCTCTCTCTATCTCTCTCTCTCTCTCGTTATCTCTCATTCTCATTCTCTATTGTAACCTAGAAAGAGTTACCGAATGAGGAATAACCAAAAAGGAGGTTGGAAAAGAAATGGTAATCTGTATAATATCAACAAAATACAATACTCGCCAGCGACGTGAAGTAGGTAAACCACTGCTAGTGGTGCACTATTTAGATAGCATATTACCCCCACTTACAATAGTGTTCAACATATTTATGAAGATTGGGACATACCCATTATTGTTCATAGGTACAATATATAACACATTCTCTCTCTCTCTATTTTTCTTTCCCTCTCTCTCGTTCTCTCATTGTCACTCTCTCCCCCTCTCCTACCCCTTTCTCTATCTTGTTATCTCTCATTGTCACTCACTCGCTCACACTCTCTCAGATCTCGTTATCTCTCATGCTCACTCTCTCTTTCTCTCTCTCTCTCTCGTTATCTCTCATGCTCACTCTTTCTTTCTCTTTCTCTCTCGTTAACTCTCATTCCCACTCTCTCTTTCTCTTTCTCCTCCCCCATCTCTCTCTCTCTCTCTTTCCCACTCTCTTTCACTGACTCATTCCCTTTTCTTTGTCGGGTGTAAAGTGATGGCTAGCAGTTAATTCTGTAAACTATTTTCTTCAATTTCCCTCTCTCTTTCTCCCCTCACTCCCTCTCCTTCTCTCCCTTTCTCACTCTCTCTTTCTCTTTCACATACTAACTCACTCAGTCTCTTTTAATTGGCGGGTGTAAAGTGTTGGCTAACAATTAATTCTGTAAACTATTTTCCTTATCGAATTGTTTGCTACTGGAATTTGAACTGCGATCATCCCTTTCACTTCCGGTAGCGATAATCGTTGCACTATTCCTCGTTCTTCTTCCATTCTCTCTTTCTTTCTTTCTTTCTCTCTTTATTTCTTTCTTTCTTCCATTCTCTCTTTCTTTCCTTCTTTCTTTCTTTCTTTCTTTCTTTATCTCTTTATTTCTTTCTTTCTTCCATTCTCTCTTTCTTTCTTTCTTTCTTTCTTTCTTTCTTTCTTTCTTTCTTTCTTTCTTTCTTTCTTTCTTCCGTTCTCTCTTTCTTTCTTTCTTCTACTTACTCACTCTTTATTCATAGTTGGGCGTAACGTGTTGTCAAGAAATTAATTCTGACATTTTTTTTTCTTCATTTCCGAATGGCTTGCAATTGTGACTCTCCCAAGTTCCGATATTTTCAAACGGAATTATTTTACCGATTCTCATTCATATTGCCTTAGACATAATCCGTAGACAGTCATTAACTTTGTTCGAACAAAGAAGACATAAAAGTGTTTTTTTGCAAAAATTATGGCGATCTGCAAGAAAATAAAAATGAATTGGTTGTCTGCTTAAATCTTCAGTTAAAATATTTTCTCGCTAAAATTGAAAATTGAACAGGGAGCTTGATAGCGTTCCAAAAAGATATGGCTCTGCGATACGTCTATCAACGGAAAGTTTGTAAACAGATACACTAGCATTAAATAAAACATTTTTAATATCACTGACCACACTATTTACATTATTCAGGCTATTTTCCTCATCTTAGTCGCCATATTTATCACAACGTTTCGCCCATTGTACGCTCCGGCCTTCTTCAGGTGGTTAGAATTTCGAACTGAACCCTTTATTTCGCTCACTGGGGTAGACTGTTCTAGTACCACGTACCATGTTTAATGGATGTCAGTTATCAGTTATCTCCTGTTAATTCTCCTCTCCAAGTTCTCCACTGACTTAACCGAGTATTCAACTCACACTATTTGGGTCCTGTCACTGGATCTAACCAACGCCTTTATCCACTGTGCCATGTTTCCTTGATTGAGTTAGATCCATTGACAGGATCAAAGAGTGTGAGTTCAATACCCAGTTAAAGCAGTGGATTTAACATGCTTGACCGCTCAGCAACGTAGGACTTACGCTCAAACAAAGTCTGAATAGTACCATTTGAACACGCACTTCTCTGCTTAACCATTATTTATTATAGATACTCATATTCGAGTAGAAGCTCTATTTTTTAATTAAACATCTACCGGCCTGAATACTCCAGAAATCTTGTCAGAAAAATATGCGTCTCGAATCAAATGAACGAGAGAATATATATATATATATATATATATATATATATATATATATATATATATATATATATATATATATGTATGTGTGTGTGTGTGTGTGTGTGTGTGTGTGTGTGTGTGTGTGTGTGTGTGTTCTCTCGTTAACTAACTTTGTGTCATGTGTCCTTGGTGGAGAACTTGGAGAGGGAATTAACAGGAGATAACTGATAACTGACATCCATTAGACATGGCACGTGGAACTAGAACAGTCTACCCCAGTGAGCGAAATAAAGGGTTCAGTTCGACATTCCAACCGCCTTAAGAAGGTCAAAGTGTATAACGGCCGAAACGTTGTGATAAATATGGCAACAAAGATGAGGACAATAGTCCGAATAATGTAAATAGTGTACATAATACCTCATCTCAGAAATATAGATCACTGATCACGTTAAATATAACCTCCGTCTAACTGCTATAACGCTTTAAGATTGCTTTAATTGGCTCTTCCATACTCATAGCCTTGTGCCTAAACTTACCCAAGCCTAGTAAATAATAGCATCGTGTTTATCAATCCATCACAGATCAAACCCTGAGCTTTCTCTAGTCATGAGAATCAGTTGTAGTCTCAATGAGCTTTCTTGTCTTGAACATCTGTTCAGACTCAAGCCCCACTGAAGACGTTAAATGGAACTCAAACATACGATACATCGCTAAAGATGATGGGAAAATGGTCGATTCCCTTTGCCGCTCCAGAAAGAACCTGGCTCCTCCTGTCATGCTCTATCTTTACAAGAGTCAGATCAGACCACAAAACGGGTTAATGTTGACATATTTGGGCTGTAGCTACACAATCTTCACTTTTCTAAGTCGACAGAGTTCAAAAGCGTTTTTGCGACCTTGTGAGTAACGAATTATTTCCCACCCGATAACTCCCTTCTCACAGACGAAAAATTGTTAGCCTCTTGCTACTCTGTCGCATTTTTCATGCCAGATATTCGGGTGAACTGGATTTCTTGATTCCACCAGTCTAGACTTTCACAGCGAGGAGATACCATGCCAAGTAGACTGAATTGATTCATAGTCCTCCCTTGGAACGGACTCGGAACGGAGACATGAGGAGGGGGGGTCCACGATAAATAACCGCTTAGAGTTGAAGGTCTAGCGGCATCTATTCTTTCTATCGTCATAATATGCAATTCTTTCCCTTCCCTCACTTCTCACTTTGCACTTTCATTTCCTTTAACCTCTTTAAGTCTAGAGTCAATTATTATCTATCCTACATATCCTCATAATATGCACTTCTCACTTCGTTCTTTCTCTTCCAGTGTCAAACGGGCAGAATCGTCAAATATGTTTATAGCACTTAACAGATTCAAAATATTTATTTGGTTATATTTCGAAATGTTCCTGTAAAAAGACTTGTATATCTTTACCGTCTTAGAAGAGTTTTCAGGTCAAATAAACTCAAAAGATATTGCAATTAATGTTAGTAAACTTCCAATGTCACAGTAATGACTGTTGTACGAGAATATCAAAAGTTAGCTGTCAATTGATTATACCACACATTACCTGGACTTTTGATTACACCACATATTTTACTACACTTTCTCGAAAAGAGTTAGAAACAGGTTAGAATCAGTAAGAAATAAGGGATAATGCAAATACTACGGTCAGCCATTTTGTATTCATAATAATGAATACGCCAATAGGAAGGCAAAACAACTTATATAAAACAATCCGCTTTTGCGTTTAAAAGGTAAATGAAACAACAGGAATTTCCACTGTATGTATCAAAGGAAAGCGAGAAGAAATAATTAAACGTCAATTGTAAGAAGACAGAATATAGGTTTGTTAGCAGAAAGAAAAGACCAACATGCGAATTAAAACCAGTACAAAAATGAAACTATAAATTGTTTTAATACGACACCGAAATCCGAAGGTGAATTTAGATAGTGAAAGATGCTTTCCAAAAGCCAAGCAACGTATTATAAGACTGGAAAATTTTCTTAGAAGCAAAGAAGAATTCTGAACTGACATGCAATAACAGGCCTCCTATATGGCAGTGAATACTGGGCAATCTCACCACAGATAAAATAAGAGACTTGCGGCAACAGAAATGTGATTCTATAGATTGATGTTAAGAATAACATAGACTGAACACATGAGCAACGAGGAAGTTTTAAAGAAAATGAAATCAAAATGGACTATTCTAATTCTGCTCCTGACTCATCTTGGGTATCTTTGCCTGATCTTCCATTTAGAACGCAGTCGCTGTTGTCTGATATTCATATAACGCTGAATATAATACTGAAAGAGACTATCAAGCTTTAGATACGACCGGTGAAGCTTTGGCCTTTGCTTTGTGTATCTCGAAGGCATTTGACAGGCTCGACTTCTTCACAAGTTAAAAGATTATAGTATTTCTTGACGAATTTTTGATCTGATTCTATCAAATAACGAAATGAAATTTACCTTGGATGATCACACTTCTAGATCTTTTTGTATCCCACAAGGCTCTACCCTTGGACCTACGTTTTTCCTAATTTTCGACAACGGCGCTCCTGATGTCATCAATTCCCAACTTGGTATCTATGTTGATGACGCAACTATTTAATCCTGTTTTAATGTTAAGTTGGATCGGTTTGATACGGTCAAATTGGTAACAGATCTCAAAAATGACCTACAATCTGTTGTTAACTGGAGCAAGAAATGGCTCGATAATGTTAATTGTTAATTGGTGCAAGAAATGACTTGATAATCTCCAAAACGAACCTACTCACCTTTAATCGTATGAAAAAAAAAACTTTTTTGCATTTCATCATCACGGTTGATGCTAACCTCCAGTATACTGACACATTGCGCCTTCTTGGGCTAACTATATCCGTTGGAAAGTGAAAAGATTATATTGAGTCTATTGCTAGGTCTGCTACTAGGAAAGTTGGTTCACTGGGTCGTACTAGACAATTTTTATCGACAGAATCTACCTTACACATTTATAAGTCTACCATTCGTCCATGTGCATCTGGTCTGGAGAATCTGCAATGTTATCGATCCTGACCTGGCATCACGATTTCTGCTTATTTCCTGCTGCCGTTACATAACTTCGCTGTGCCTTTTCTATAAATATTGTCATGATATTTTTTTCTGATGAGCTTTTCTTTTTGGTACATAGACATTATGAATGCAAGCACAGTACTAGATTGGCAGCTAGGTCTCATCATTCAACAGTTAGAGTGACTAGGTGTAACCGTAAGTTCTATGCTAACAGTTTCTTCTCTCGCAATTCTCACTTGTGGAATTATTTCTCTTCTCCCATACTCAGTAACCCCTTGCATCTTAGTGGCTTCATTGCCTTGCTTGGGGTAAAATGATATAACAAATTATACTTAATATCAGAAAGTACAGGAGAAAATTATCGGCAGTTAATGAGGAAAGAGGGTTTAGAAAATGTGACACTCACAGGACATGTTAAAAGCAAAAGCAGTGCCTAACATACGTAACGTGTATTTGTGTAAATAGTAGAACATGGATCAAGGAAGATAGCAAAAAGACATCTAAGAACAACAAAAGACAGGAAATTGTGGAGAGCCATAATATCGCCCACATCCTGAAGGGACATGGTACAAAGAAGAAGAAGAAGAAGAAGAAGAAGAAGAAGAAGAAGAAGAAGAAGAAGAAGCATGTGTAAATGGTTAGCAGATCAAGGATTAAGAGGTATCACGAAAAGACATTTACTAAGCGCTACAAAGGACAGGAAATTGTGGAGAGCCATGATCGTCCACATCCTTAAGCGATACGACCCAAAGAAGAAGAAGGAGGATAAGAAGACGAACGAGCTTGTGTAACTGGTTGGCAGATTTAAGAGCTAAAAAAGAACGGAAATTGTGGAGAGCCATGATTCGCCCACGCCCTGAAGGGACACGCTACATTAAAGACAAAGCATTTAATGGACTTCATCTTATCCAGAACCACCATCTTTATAAATATGCTGTTTTCTTTGTTTCTTTTTATAAACGAGTTATTAATCCTGAATATCTGGAACTTGCGATAAGATTTCCTCTGTCTTGTCTACGT